TAAACATTATTTCGAGCGTAATGTTCTTTTGTCTCGATTTTCGCTCTTATTTTGTTGCCTAGTATTATCGTCTTTCTTCTTACTATGTTCTCCCTTTCTCTCTCATATTAAGCTTGGGTACGCTGTGGTTTAACGCTGTGGTTTTCCTGTGATTTGTCACCAGTGCTCCTCAGCTCCCTTTGTGACATCGAAGGCCTGGGACCTGTCGAATTTCAACATGGCGGCCCTGAAGCACGGATCGAGGAAGTTTTATGAAATTCCTAGTAGCGAGGAATTCACGCACTTAAGGAGTGATTATACCCTTAAGAAGGCGAAAAATGTCGAAGAACTCTTCAAGTATATCGAAGAAAGTTGTATAGGAGAAGATGTTACATTTTGCGGGCCATATGGCCCTCGGAAAGGTAAGCTTGGCAAGAGAGGATGCAGTAAGCGATTTGGTCGTTGCGGTACCGTTGAATTAAATTTTTCGATTTTATTTTCAGTCACCTATTGCGACTACACGGCATCTGGAAGGTATGTTTTCAAACGTATTGTTCAGTTGAAATCTCACAGCAAACAACAAAAATGTTTTTTTTTTTAAAAAAAAAAAATTGGAGCACATGCTTTAAATTCTGTAGTTTAGCCTTGAATTCTGTCTTAGACACAAGATGGACACATCCTTTCCAAATGGGGAGGGGTGTGTTGGGCTCAAGTTTCTCTTTGAACGCTGGCTGTCATCAGCAGCCCCCGACCCATAATCTAGCCTCTTCTGTGCTGGCTGCTTATAAGGGTCATTAGCTAGGGACCTACTTAGGCATGTGGGGAATTACTTGTACTGTACATGTAGCCTTAAGTTCGGGCAGACTATGCCTTATCCTGGAGAAATGGCTAGGCATTTGGGTAACTAGAATGATCATGTTATTATACCACATCTGGAATACATCTTATAATGCCAACCCCAGCCACAGGAGGCAAAAATCTTGAAGTTCTAAACCTAGAGCTTGGAAAAGTAGTCAGAAGTACGAAAAAGTCACTAGATGTCCCAAATTTCCTTGTGGAAGGACTTCCAGCGGGGATTTTGGGTATTAAGAAATCATGTATCATTCAAAGCTGGAGTAGTAATCATCACAATCAATCTTCTTTGTTGCTGCTGACATGCACATGTTTGTTGATGGCGATCTTTGAAATGAAAGATTTAGGTTTATTGTTAGAGCGAGTCTGTATATGTAGCATTGATAAGTCATGGTAGGATTCGCAGTAAGTTGATAACATGGCCGAGGAAATGTTAAAAGTTGCAACTCAGACATTGAATTGTGTGTCTCATAGGTGGTGTCGACTGACATATCGGTTGAGTGTCGGTCAACACATCAGTCAATATATCGGCCGAGTGTCAGTTGACTGTTGATTGAAGGTCAGTTGAGTATTGGTTGAGTATTGGTCAACGTGTTGATTGAGTGTCGGTTGATTGTGGCCGATACTCAGCCCCTATAACCTATCAGTTGATAGGCTGTCAATAGTTGGTTATTGGTCGTACATGTAAATTGTTCGCGTGTTGATGGTCGAAAGTCATGACATATGCTAGTCATGCACAATAGCTGTAAGCAAAAATAATACCATTTAAATCGGCCATTAAGGTCTCTGTTCCTGTAAAAGTAGCTCTAGTTACAGTTAGTGTTCTTGTAAAAAGTGATTAGGGTAATCAATATTTTCATAAACTACTCTTTAGGTCATTGACATTTATTGAAGATTACATAAGAGGGCAGGTTTTACCTCATTATGGCAACACACATACTACAACAACTGTAACTTCACTACAGACAACTTTGTATCGCCATGAAGCAAGGTAAAATTAATTAGTGCCTCCACACTATCTGTTGTTTTACATGAATAACTGGAGAGTTTGGTCAATGTATTTCCAAAGGCAAATTAAACTACATGTATACAATAATTTTCTCTATAGCAGATTTGTCATATAACATTAAATGTGTGCCATAAGTTTGGCAACAACGTACCGTGTAAGAGAGTTTTAGAGGTTATGATGTTTCTAAAGAATAGCTTTAAATAATGATTTATTGTTTTTTCCAGATCACACATTTTAAAATTAACAAGGAGATTTCTCGCAGATTAATCATTTTGGGATCGTTGAGCAAAATCCGGGCACCATCACATAATAATTTTTTAGAATCATGCCCTATTAATAGAGTATGCTTCCTTATGTTTAGGGACCCAAAACAGCATGTTTTTCAGTAATGAAAGGAGACAGGCTTGCTTAGTATTTTTAACAAAAAGATGATTTTGATGATTTATCCTTGTGGGTTACACAAATATTGATAGTACTCAGATTCACATACATGTCATGTATAATATCACATGATGACTCATGCAGTGTTCCCTCGGTGTAAAAATGTTTCACTTATGATCAGACCAGAGTATGTATGTATTATGAAACATTTGTTTGTTATCTGATTTGATTATTTGAAGGGATATCATCAGAAATGCAGTGAATGCCAGTGAAAGTGACTCTGTGATATTTGTCGGTAGTGGAGTGACAGGAGCCATTCATAAGTTGATTCATGCACTGGACTTTAAAGAACCTCCTGTAAGTACTCAATTTACAGCATTGCCTTATCACTTATACTGATTTTTAAAACGTGAAGACATTCAACCTACACCAATGCGAAGATGTTGTGAGGAATTCACCAGCTTGATGTTGGACTCATGTGAGTTTCCTTTCATGCAATGTACTCTTACATTTACTTCTACAGTCTGCTTCTTGGCTAGAAAAATACTGGTAATTAGTGATTTCCACCCGGTTAGCTCAGTAGGAAAATCACAACTTTACCAGACAAGAGGTTGAAGGTTCAAACCCTGGCCATATAAAAGAAATTATATTATGCCAATATATATATTTTTTGTAATTTTTATATTACTTCATTTTTGACAGAATTATATGTATTTCAGAGCTGCAAATAATTTTTCGTTGTTGGAATGACGTGCACACTGTATGTGTTGTGGTTCAATTTTATCAGGGTTTCAAATTTTATTTTCGTTTGTTTCAAACTCATTACCATATATTATCATACCCAAAAACAAAGGAAAATATAATTTAAAACATGCAAGGACAAAATTTAACCATAATTTAACATATGTGTCCAGCTAAGTCACCTTCTTGGTCAAATAATAAAAGAAAGCAAAAAATGTGGTCTGGCTCAATCAAGGGTGGATTATGGGAAAATTGTGCATTGTAGACCCAGGATTTGCAGAAAGGCTGATCACTGCCATATATTCACTGCAATTTATTATGTTATTTTGTTGGTACAACAATGTCCTCAAGGTAGATTTTTATTCACCTTCAGTATGATAGTCTTTTAATTTGTTGAGTTTGTTCAGACATCACATCTGACCACAGTTAAGATTTCATCGGAAATGGGCCAGTTTTAGTCAGCCATTGTCTGATGAATAACCAACTTTATTTGCAGCTCTGCATTTAGATAAGAGCTAGAGAAAACTTCATTACAAAACTATAATTATTTCTGGAAATGTAAGATAAAGGTCTGTAACAACATTCTGCTCTTTTATAAGGTGGTACTTGTAGGACCATTTGAACACCATTCAAATCTTCTCCCCTGGAAGGAGTTAGGTGCTGAGGTATGAAAATATATTTTTGAATACTTTAATGTCAATTTTAAATCCACTTTAAGTGGTTCTAAACCTTTTATTAATGTTAGGTTATCTGGATCAAGCAAGATGCAAAGGGCTTAGTTGACCTCACAGACTTGGAGTTTAAACTCAAGGTATGCAACATGGTAACAAAAAAATAATAATTATTATTATTTTTTGAATTTATCTCAGTTAATAATTATTATTAACTGAGATAAATTCAACAACTTTCCTTTATGAAATTCAATAAAAAATGCTGTAGACAAGTAGCAAAGAAATTCAGTTTTAGAAAAATAAAGACAGTTTTTTTTGATAATCAATGAAATTAAGTTAAGTACTCTTGAATGCATCCTCATACTTGATTTACACCTTTGTGGTGTACAAAGCCCTACAGCGCAGAACATGTTACAGGTCAAAATTAATTTCTGGTTAAAATTATTGAACATAGGTTGATTCTCAGTTTCCTCTTAGCCCTTTTTCTCGTAGCCCTAATTATTCATGAATATTAGGGCTGGGATGGAAAGAAGATTGAGCATCAACCTATGTTAAATAAATTTTAACCAGACTTTAATTTTGACCTGTATCATAAATATTGATCATCTAATAAGCATGATACAAAAAGGAAATTTGAGGCCATTGGCCCAGTTTTGAAGTGGGGATTTGACCTGTGAAATTCGAGATACAGCTGGTGGTATTCTCCACTGATTTGGGTGCATACTACGGGGCTGCTAGGTTCAACTTTGTGTTTTGATTTTAAAGAATTGAAGGGGTGTCTTTTCACACGATACCAGTATGACTCATTCTGGAATGAGTTCATCCCATCTCTGCGTACGTGTATTTCTCTGTATTTGTTTACATGATACCGAAACAACATTTCATTCCTGTACAAGGCATTCCGGAGTGAGTTCATTCCAAAAATTGTGTAGTCTGGAGAAAGTGGCGCATGCCTATCTGATTTGGTGTGAAAACCACGCAAGTGAGAACACCTTACAGGCCAAGCCATTTGATTTTGTCATGTGAATGCAGTAGAAACTTCACTCTGGAATGAAACTCACGAATAAATTATTGTGGAATGAAAGTCATTCCGGTATCATTTCAACAGCCCCTAAGTGCTACTTTGTAAAATATCAGTTTTTTCTTTTTGTTTTTTTCAAATGCGTATCTATCTGCCAGGAGAGTTAAGCATTTTATAAGGCATCAAATTGAAGCTTCCAGTCACCTGTTCAATGATGTAATAACTGCTGCAAAATAATATAAACCAATAACCTAACTTTTGGTTATGTTTGATTTTAGGCTATGTCTTCGAAAGGCAAGCAGCTTATTGGCTGTTTCTCAGCTGCATCTAATGTGACTGGTATTCTAACAGACACCAATGCCATTACAGCTTGTCTGCACAGGCATGGGGCATTAGCTTTCTGGGACTATGCCACTGCAGGTAAACAGTGAAATGGTAATTAGGGTGACTCCATAATGAATTGAGCAAACAGCTGATGAAGACAGTGGCAGAAAGGTGTGGCACAGGTGCTTAAAAAAATTACATTNGTGAGTTCATTCCAAAAATTGTGTAGTCTGGAGAAAGTGGCGCATGCCTATCTGATTTGGTGTGAAAACCACGCAAGTGAGAACACCTTACAGGCCAAGCCATTTGATTTTGTCATGTGAATGCAGTAGAAACTTCACTCTGGAATGAAACTCACGAATAAATTATTGTGGAATGAAAGTCATTCCGGTATCATTTCAACAGCCCCTAAGTGCTACTTTGTAAAATATCAGTTTTTTCTTTTTGTTTTTTTCAAATGCGTATCTATCTGCCAGGAGAGTTAAGCATTTTATAAGGCATCAAATTGAAGCTTCCAGTCACCTGTTCAATGATGTAATAACTGCTGCAAAATAATATAAACCAATAACCTAACTTTTGGTTATGTTTGATTTTAGGCTATGTCTTCGAAAGGCAAGCAGCTTATTGGCTGTTTCTCAGCTGCATCTAATGTGACTGGTATTCTAACAGACACCAATGCCATTACAGCTTGTCTGCACAGGCATGGGGCATTAGCTTTCTGGGACTATGCCACTGCAGGTAAACAGTGAAATGGTAATTAGGGTGACTCCATAATGAATTGAGCAAACAGCTGATGAAGACAGTGGCAGAAAGGTGTGGCACAGGTGCTTAAAAAAATTACATTTCTTTGGTAATTGCATGGCTTCATGCTGTTGCTGTTATCCTGGAAAGAATTCTCACATTTAAACTATTGAATTCATAACACAGTCTCTTTGACTCTGATTGGATCACCCTGTTTGAAATATATATCACCATAGTAATAAGCAATACTCTGCTTTGTGGCAGTGGTATTTCCAATAATCTTGGACTATTAATACACTGATTGCAGTGTACCCTCCGGCTCATACAGACACTTCCATAATGTAGACTGGCCTCTCCATTATGGACAATCCCTGCCTTTACTTAAAGACACCTCTGTAACTTGGACATGTCCTGTTGGTTATTTATGCCCAGTGGGGGTCCATTTTAAGAATGTTTGACTGTTTTTCTTTTGTGTCTTACATGACATACAGCTCCATATGTGGAAATCAACATGAATCCATTGGTAACCAGGTAATCACTTTTTTAAAATACTATTGGAAAGACCAAAAGTCAACAACTGTCAAACACTTAATTTTGGTAATTTTACAGATAATTTGAAATTTGTGGCTTTTGGTAACCTTGAGTTTGACTCAGGTACCTTCTTTTTTTTGCTTTTTTGCTCATGAACAATCATAATGCACTCCAAGCAATGCTGGAAATAATAATAAAATTATTTATTCAGTTTTAAAAGCTGGCTGAAATGAAAAAGTAGCCAAATAATTTTGATATATTCTTGATAATTAAGCTTAAATGTCATCCAGCTGCTATGATTAATAAATAATTGTGGGATGTTTTATTTTATGTAGTGATGATCAGGGATTTGTGTACAAAGATGCCATTTTCATTTCAACGCACAAGTTAGTCGGTGGAGTCGAAACACCAGGTAAAGTAAAATATGAAGGACAAACTGTAAATTAGGACATTATAGCACTCACCATTCCCACCAAATATTCATTATTTATAAGTTCTGGTAACTGTTCCCTTAGAGGCTGTTGCAATAAGTGCTGAGATATCTTAATTGATCATCGGAAATAATCAGATTGACCCACGGGAACAATAATATTGATTATAGTCGGAATAATGTCCTTAAAAGAATTCCCTTTAAGCTTCTGTACCATGTTTTAGAACGTGACAAAACATGGGAAATGATTGGCACACCACTAGCTGCAATACCAGAATGATCAATAACATTGGAAGAACCCAGACAATTTTTACTACCTGTGATGGCAGGCTGACAGTTTTTACAGTGTCAGTGTTTCTTCTTCTCACCATTAAAATATCAGTATATACATTGTAAGTAAAGTAATTTAAGTTCTTTGTTTAAACCATAATTTCCTTTGTCTCCTATGAATAATAATAATAAGGACTAGAAAGCAAAGGAAAGTCTGAATCACAAGAGATTGACCAGTGGTTAAACCTAAGAATGGATATTAACTACAACATCTATACATCATAAATCTCAGTGCCATCATTTTGTTTAAAATGACTCTGAAAATGAACAATTTGTTTCCTTTTTCAGGGATCCTCATTGCCAAGAAAAGTTTATTTAGGAACCCTGTACCTTCAGGTTGCGGTGGAGGCTCTGTGTTTTTTGTAAGTAAAGAACATTTTTGAAGGAGCTGTGCTGCTCATTAGTTGCGACTTAGCTATAATAAAACAGAGAAAAAAACAGAGTAAACATTGTTTGAACGACAAAAAAACTGAATTCACCGGCTCTACTACATAGCAACTTGGCCACTGTAGAACTGTCCCGCCCTACCCCCTCCCCAACTTCCCTGTTGTATTTGACCATTTCTTTTTTTTGCAATTTAAGGTGACAGAGAACTCTCATAGATACCTAAAGGAGATTGAGATGAGGGAGGAGGCTGGAACCCCAGCTATTGTGGGTGCCATCAGAGCTGGACTGGTCTTTCAGTTGAAACAGGTACCGGATAAATATTAAACAGTTTCACGTTTTAGGGTCACCATAGTTAGGACATGTAGACATGTGATGTAATGACAGGTATAGATCGGTCTAACTTAAGAGTCTGCTGACAAACTGAAATGGTGTGACCATTCAAGTAAAACCTACTGAGAAGTAGTTAATGGTGGCAAAAGGACAAGTGTATTGTCCGAGATTACTTTTAACTATGTTTGAGCCTGTGAATGAAATCTTATTGTGCGACCATTCAAATGAAAACTCTCTGCAATACTCTGTCTGTGGATGAAATTAAGTGTGACCATTCATGTGATACCTAATTATTGTTTATGCTTGTACAAAGTTATTTGATTTGCATGAGATCTTTTTGATTTTCCCTTTTTTTTTGACCGGCCTCTTCTTCTACAGTATCACTGAGTAGTCCCTTGACCAGGAACATTGTAGTTATGAGTATGGCGGGGTGGGTCATGTTTACTGAATTTTTTTTCTTCACTGAAAAACTTATTTTTAGTTTTAAAATGATGTTAAACTTAAGGGGCCTTCTTTTCTCTAAGGAAATAGGTTCAGCTGCCATCATGACCAGAGAGGAAGATTTATGTAGGTTAGTATGTACATATGCCATTTTTCTTCTTTTCTTCGGTACTGATAACCATAAAATATAAAATAATGTAAATACAGGACCCAGTTTTGAATTAAGCAGTATTGTTATCTAGCCTCCCATGCAGACGTTCTTAGGGGTTCGTCACACGTTCTGCCCGACGTTGGGGAGGATTGCGTGACAAGCCAAAAGAACTCTACATGGGAGGCTATGTTGTGATCGTGACAATTTATGGATTTTGGGTATTCCTAAGCTCTTTTGATCATTATGCATTTTACATTATCACCTCATTGTAAAGGCTTACTGGGTATACTTTCACGTCATTTTGGAGTGGTAGTTTTAACTGAATTGATAGCAACATCGTCAGAAAGAATTTTGTTTTTCAACAGGAGAGCCCTGTCAGCATGGAATAACAGTGAGAATCTTGTTCTCTTGGGGAATACAGCAGTGTCTCGCCTCCCGATCTTCTCATTTCTGATCAGGCACCCAATCTCAGGGTTGTTCTTACATCACAACTTTGTATGTGCCCTCCTGAATGACCTGTTCGGAATACAGGCCCGTGGGGGCTGTGCATGTGCTGGCCCCTATGCACAGGTACTCTGAAATTTAGTATTAGCATATTCCTTAAGTTAATTGTCCGTTGTAAACGGCTTTGCCTTTTACCCTTGTCATAGAATCTGTTGGGAATAAACGAGGCACTAGCAAGAGAAATTGAAAACCTCATATTGGAAGACAGGTTTGTGGCCTATAGTGTTTGATCATTACAGTTTCTCAACTTACAAGTTCCACAGTCGTGATTATTGCTTCAATTGTTTGTCTCGTGATCTATCAGAAGTTCAACTTCTTCAGGACTAAATCATTGCTTTCTTTTTGGTACTAGTATAACTATTCTGTAATTCTAAACCTTCACAGTTTCATTTAGTTTAATTAGTTCTAACAAAGCTATTGTTTATTTTCCTTATGAAAAGAATGATGTTAACATTTTCCTCTTAAACAGTCGCTTAGACAGAGTTCACCTCCGACGATACCATGAATATTCTGAAAGAGAAATCTTGAGGTAAGTGTTCGAAACACTTTTTCATCATCATCATCATCCTCCTCATCATCATCATCGTCATCATGATTGTACGGATTCCCAAAAGGGGTTCCCTACTTGAACACTAAGGATCATGTTACATCAGGAGTAATCGGCTCCTGGTGACATTGAACAGAGCACGTTTTCCAATTTTGACAAGTCGTTTCCTTTCGTTTCTCGTGCACTGGCCCGCACGAACTCAGTTGACCTTATTCTTAATTTTGTGGAACTTCGTTAGGGATAATTTCATTAAAGTCATCATCATCATTGTTATCATCGTCAACCTCATCATTGTCATCATCGTTGACATCATCATCATCGTCATCCTCATCACCAACAAAACATCATCGTTGTGATCTTCACGTCTTCCCGCGCCTAATCCAATTAACTGACGTTGATCCTCAAACGTACGGCTTCCTTAATTGCAATTCGGATTTATTATGACTTTTGAACTAACTAGAATAAACTACACGTGTAAATTTCATAAAATAAATATCAATTCACGTGTTCTACCCAGACCAGGTTTTGTGCGGCTTAATTTGCCGTATTTTATGTCAGATGATTCTGTCGAGTTTGTTATAAAAGCAGTGAAGATGGTGGCAGAACATGGCTGGAAACTTCTACCACAGGTAATTAAATACTTCTGTAAAAGGTCAGTTTTTAATGGTAAGGATCCTAGCCTGTCATTAGGCTCTCTTGTGGTGGGTAGGACGAAGAGGAAGCTGGCAAATTCTTGAAGACAGGGAATAGGAAAGAGAAGGGGAAAGTAACGATCCAATGAAAGTAACCAACTGGGAAAGAAAAATGATCCCCAAAAGTAACCTTACAAGTTGATGCCTGGTAATTAATCTTGAAAGTGACCTGGGTGAAGGTTTTAACATATACAGTGCAGGCTAGTGACAGTCACCCTTCCCCCGTGTATATTTTAGATATTTTTTGCTCATTTTATTCGTTTTTGTCCTGTTTAGTACATGTTTAACCCTGAGACTGGAGAGTGGAAACACAGAAAACATCAGGTGACATGCACGCAATTCTTTAATAATGCCTTTTCTTTGTGTGTTTGTATTTGTTTCCCATTTCTTAACAGTTAGACTGAACTTTTGTAGACCGTTTGACTTGATCCTTCTCCTATTTTTGACAGCCATTAGCCTTGCCTTCTTTTTTTTTAGGTATTTCGTGACCGAAAGTGGCTTGGTTCAATTACTTACTCAGAGGGTCATATGACGTATCCATCATCCCCCGCATGCGCGGAAGGAGCCCCGAGTTCACACACGGTAGGAAACTAGTCCCACATGGGATTAGTCGTAACGCGGTTTTCCTTGCTTTTGCTTCATCACGTTTATGATTGGCTAAAAATCTCACGCCGCTGGGTTCTTAGCCAAAGGAATAAATCATGTGTTGCTCGCACATGTTTCCTGCCCTTGGTGTATGCCACAGCCATTTCCTTTTAATTTCAATTAGTTAAGTTCTCTGGGACTTTTTGGATTAGTGAAAGAATTTTTTTTCATTCAAGTAAAGCCCTGTGATTGAGACCGGACTCGAAAAAACGGCGAAAATCGAGACTGGTAAAAAAGCGTTGCAACCACGAACCGACTTAAATTAGCAACCTCGTTCCCAGGATTCTCTCCTACCCGCCCCCTGGAGCGAGAGAGGGGCGGGTAGGAGAGAACCCTGGGAACGAGGTTGTTAAATTAGCAGTTCACAATCAGCTTCTACAATGTTGCTTGATTTTGATGTTAAAAAATGGTTGTTTATCAGTGACCGTTGCTTAGTATTTTAGGGACGAAATAGTTACTGGGAATAACAGTTAAAGCAATTAAGACTACATCGTGGCATTGTAGTGGTTTTCTTTGTTCTCATTACCCATATTTATTTATAATTTATTAAGAATCAAGGGTTTGACTTTAGTGTCTTCTTTAACGCCTAGGAATGCCTCAGAAAAGCTGAAGAAATTCTACAGAAAGCGACCTTAAACAGGGTAAAGACGATTTTTTTTCGTTTTAAGCATGAACAGAATAACTCTATGGTGTTCAAAATTCCGTCCCGGCCTTAGTTCGGTTATTTCCTGTTGTTGTGTTGTATGAGTTGGTTTCAAACTTTTGATCATTTACAAGAAAGTTTTTATCAAGAAGTACAGTTCAAGACAATTATCTATGTTGTTGGTGACTACAAATTTTAAGTCTAACCTAAGAAGTTTATTTTCTTTCCTCAGGCTATCATTAGTGTTTGTGATCAAACGTTATTTTTGGGCGAGGAAGGTGAAAAGCTACGCTGGTTTTTGCTTCCAAGTGAAGCGGCGCAGCTGCTGAACGGTAAACAACTTAAAGACTATCCGATAAAGGCGCCTTTTGCTCCATTACAATGGAAGAATGGCTTGTGTGTCCCGCAGGCCGCTCATTTGATAGGGACTCATTATATGGAGTCTTCTGATAGGACTTCTGTAGCTCCCATAGAAAAATGTACTACACTGAGAGAAAACACAGAGGAAAGAGATTTAAACGGGGTGACAAACTGTGGTTGTATTACAAAAAGTGAAACTGGTAACAACGTCGCGGGGATTTCTATTTCCAATGTTGATAAATGCAATAATGATGCTGAAAGACTCAGAGATTTGCCAGACTCTGCGGATTTAAAAGAAAATGAAACCACTTTGGCAAATGTTTGCAACAGATCTTTGGAAGGCGCAGGGAGTAAACCTAGATTTAACGCTGAAAACATGGATACAGAACTTGCAGGTGAAGATTTGCTCTCACGTAAAAGGATTCACGCAAACGGTTTTGACGAAACAAGGATACTTAACTTTCCTGAGCAAGGGAAAGAGACAATCACAAGTGCTTTTGTGAGTGAGACATCTTTGAATGGACCGAAGAACGATTATGGTTCCCTTATTGACAGTGAAACAAGTGAAATACCAAACAGTTTTGACCAGAAATTAAACCTAAACACTTCTTCGAAGGAAAGGATAGTTCCTTCTTCCGAAGGCAGTGAGGCTATGACGATTTCAGAGGCTGTTTGTCGCCGAAAACCGAGAAAGAAGAAACAAAGTGAAGTGACCTCGGGTAAACCGAAGTTTCATCATCCTCCCAAGAGTATTTTTAAACCAGCCACACAGGTATAAAAACAATTATTAGAAATAATTCACGTGGCAGCTGTTTACTTTTTGTACCGATAATTTCTGAGCATGTTTTGTCTTTCAGTCTGTCGGGACGAGCGCAAAGAAGCGCGGGTACGTGAAAAAACCGGCGGAAACTGGGGGGAGGGAGAGAGCAGCGCACTCGCTATTCTTATCCCCAGACCCTCCTGTCCCCTCTCAGCCGGCGAGGTTTGAGAACGAGTTCCTGGTGACAGGCCTTGCTGACAAAGAAAAAGAGGAAGCTCTGGGAACGAGAATGTTCGTTAACTTTTCTTTTTTCTTGCCTCTTCATCCCCACAAACTGAGAGCCTCGAACAGGCTAATAAGTTTTTACTATCAGAATTTAATGCAGTGTAAAAAAATCTCATATTCCCCCGTTTTTTCAGTGTCTTTCATTTTTCCTTTTCTCTCCTTCTGACCATAACCCGGCTTGTTGAACTTCAAAGATAATGCATTGTGTAAGGTGTATGAAGAGGCTGCGAATTTCTCCGCCAAAAGTTTAGTTTCTTTAAGAAATAAAGAGGAAAGGGGAAAAAAAGGGAGAAGCGTCCATTTTCGCTGTTTAACACAGTTAACACTAGCAGCTCACACTGTAGTAAATTATTTTGTTTCTCTTTAATTTGCAGGCTTTAGAGGAGTACGAGATGATTCGCGATGGAGACAGAGTGCTAGTGTGTCTGTCAGGAGGCAAGGACTCACTTTCGTTACTTCACACTTTACATCAATATCAGTTCTACAGCAAATCTAAGGTATGCTACCATGAAACCTAGCCTGTTATGAATGATCTACTGGACAAATTTGATTTGGCGCAACCAATGCAGGTGGCGGTTTTTTTACTGCGCACAGACCGCTATGTTGGCGGCGGGGGCAATAAGATACAACTGTAAACAGCCTAACTCACGGTTAAGCCCGCCCAGTTTTTCGGTTTGTCGCGTTCATCACCACTCCACCACAACCTAGTGCTCAGGCTCCCTAACATTGAACAGTATATGGTGATACAATTGGTGATTATTAGATAGATTTTGTTTTCATGTTATGGCTCTTTTCTTAGGGCATCAATTTTGAACTTGGAGCCGCCACTGTGGACCCTCAATCCCCTGGATATGACCCCAAACCTCTGGTCCAGTATTTAGCGGCCCTTGGTGTTCCCTACTTTTTTGAAGAGCAAGGTATGTCGAGCTATAAACCATGTAAACAAAGTTAGTCCTTTCACCGTTAGTTCTTCCCAATTCGAACTTTTTTAAACTCTTTTAGTATTAAGATAAAAAAAAAAAACCGTGACGGACAAACGGCTATTTTACATTTTGGTGTTCTGTACGTTTTAAGTGTTTTAAAATTTAGCGTTTTTCGTTTTTGAAATCTCTTTTATAAATTTGCTGTAGTCGTAGATTAATTTCGTCCAGTAAAATATTCAAAACATACAAACATAGCATTGAAGTTAACTTAAAGAAAAACACAGAACTTAAAGTAAAGAAAAAAAAACAGAAGAAACCAAACGGGTTCCTCCATCTTGTGTACTTGCAATTGTCCCTATAAAACAATATAACCTGTTTGAAATTTTCTTCCGAACAGGAATCATACAGCAAGCAGCTCAGCTGACTGTTTGTGAGTCTATATGTAGTTTTTGTTCCCGAATGAAGCGTGGACGCTTGTACGCATGTGCAAGGCGCGAAGGATACAACGTGCTTGCTATGGGACAGCATCTTGATGATCTGGCTGAAAGGTGAGCCGGATAATAATTCTTTCCAGTTTTTGTTAACGGCCAGTGATATGTGGGGATCCACCCAGTATAACATCCTCAGGCTCTGTCAGGAGTGTTGTGTGCGCCGCTAAATGGTAACCTGTATATCGCCATCCCCTTCCGTAAAAACAAAATCGAAGAGAGGGACACCGATTTTGTTTGAGGGGAGGGGAGGGTGTATACAGGCTACGAATTGGTTAAAATTAGTTTAGAGAAGTCTACGTTGAAAAGAGTATAACCTGTCTCATATACCACTTTCCCGCCCTTTTTTTCCCTCCCTCTCTGGATTACACCAACTTCCTCCTTGTATAAATGTCCCTAACAAAATTAAAATTGTTTTCGGTACTATAAGAGAGGTCAAGAACCGCCTTTATGGCAATCGAGAAACGGCAGGATGCAGAGTAAAGTTTTGTCCCGCATGTTTTTTTTTTATGAATGTGAAAGCACGGTCAGCGATAAAAGAAAAACGGGTTTTTCGCAAACGTGGTCCTTGAAAATTTGGCCATTTATTTTCAGCTTTTTGATGTCAGCATTTCACAATGGTCTGTTGCGAACAATGAAAGCCAACTATACCGTCTTGTAAGTATGTATATGTAACAAACCTGTTAATTATTTGTTTAATCTTATAAATCTTTCCATCAAAAACCTTCGTGCACAAAGACATATTAATGTTTTAATCAGATTTAGTTTTAAAGGTTACTACTTGTCGTGTTTTGCTCTTCCCGCAAAGTTAGATCATGAATGGATTTCATTTAATCACATCATATTTTCTTCGTTTTAGTTGGTTTTATTCTGTTATGAAAATGCTATTGTTTTTCTTTTGTTTCACTGAAAACTCTGACTACAGATTCAACGTTTTTTTTTTTGGAAATGAAGCTAATGAATAAATATCTTTACATTTTAGGGAATGTGATTTGCGTGTTATCAGGCCTTTAGTTTATGTACGCGAGAAGGAATTGAGAAGTTTTGCGGAAAAGGTAATGTTTCATTATTCGAACACATAATTAGTTCCTGACAAAGACCGATGCCAGGCGAAAGTTTGTTCCGTTTTTCGGCAGACTTACTGTATTTATTCGAATAAGCGCCCAACCTCGAATGAGCGCCCACCTCGAATAAGCGCCCATGCTAAAGGTAGAAAACGTTAACAAGCGCCCAGCCTCGAATAAGCGCCCACCCCACCCCACTCCCTCCCACAAAAACTAATAAGAGACCCTCCTGAAGACGCAGTTTTCTTCAGAGTGTTTTACAGAAACCTTGCTCTGCTACATCTTCGCTTTTTGTTAGTAACATTTACTGTTTTGTTGCAAAATATACTACTACACTTGCTGAGAATGGTGAAAATGTAATAAGCGCCCACTCTCAAGGTCCAAAAAATTTAATAAGCGCCCAGGGCGGTTCATCGAATAAATACGGTACTTCATTTTCCAGCCCGGCGGAATGTTTATTGCCACAAAACCAGAGTTCGCCAGGGGTTGGAAATTATTAATAAATAATACATGTAGATAGGATGTAGAAGTGAGATAATGTCATAATTTATCGTGAAAATTTGTGTTATTTAAGGTCAAACTTCCTGTGATTGCGGAGAACTGTCCTGCCTGTTTTGAAGCACCCAAGGTCAGTACTTTTGCATTTGTTGCCTTTTTAATTGGTTTTCATGTTCAACTTTTGTTGTATTTCTTCTTTTCAGGAGCGTCATAGAACAAAACAGCTTCTGGCAGCTCAGGAAATATTGTTTCCAGGCCTCTATCACAGCCTGCTCACGGCCATGAAGCCTTTGATGGCTCGCGATCGAGTGGGCCTGGAGTCTAGCAAGATGAAAAATGGAAACTATGAGGATTTCCTCTGACAAACAAAGTGCAGTCGCCTAATCGAAAGAAAGACATAGTAGACAGCCTGTTGTTTTGTTGAAAAGCTTCCAAATCAAGTCATCTGTTATATTCAGAAGCAGAGATTTCTTTGAAAATCAGCCTCGTCCCCATACCCCGCGCGAGCTTCCTCGCACGACTCCTTCTTTCTTGCGCCCATTACTTCCAAGCGCCGGCTACGCAGGCTACGTCCCCGGGGTGGGGTGGAAGGGGCGGAAAGGAAAAGCCCTGGGGTCGAGGTTGTTCGAAAATTGCGAAAGCCTTTCCACACTAAAGAACTTTTTAGTACTACTGCACAAGAAAAATTAAATTTTAAAATAGTTAGAAAGCTTTTGGGCCATGAATCTCCATATCAATTTTATTTGCGATTTACAGCTAACAGGAGCTGGGCTCCTGTAGTTAGTTATAAATATTAATAAAATGATATTTATCAGCTATCGGTTTAATATGCTATAAGTGATAAAACATTTGTGTGTTTGCAATAAAAAGAAAAAAGTAGTTAAAAAGATACAAAGCTTTCTGCGTAGCTTTTTTAGCTTTTTTTATTTCAAAGCTTTTTATTTTCTTTCCTCTCGTAGAAACGTACTGCGTTTTAAAGAAAATCAAGGGTGCGTCACTTTGGGGAATCTAAGATAAGACTATCACTTGACAATTTGCTCGTGTACATGACAATATTTGCCCGAATGGTATGTCACACACACGTGGTAGAAACGCGCCCTGCATTTTTTGTTTAATACGATGAGGCAAAATGAAATGGTCATACGTGAAGCCTTAGCTTGTTCGTGTGAACGACTCGTCGAACGCCGGTTTTCAAGTTCCCCCACCCCGTGAGTAAAAAGTGACTTCAATGGCTCCCTGTATTGCATTGTGTTCTGTCCTGATTGTTACGCGAACTGTCAATTTACGAACCATTGTTCCAAAAATATGCTTGTGCTCATCACACAAGTGTATATGTTTTTTCCGTTCCCATTCTCATGTTCAGTTAATTATTTTGCAAAGCAGCATAAAAAGGTTATTTTTGTGACGCGAGTTGTTCGTCTTTGTTAGTCATCTCTAGGGTACCAAACACACCATTCTAAATGAGACAAGGTATCCCTTTTTTCTTGAGCAAAGAGAACAAACTTGAACGGTGTCAATTTCTTAAAAAAACTGGAATCGATTAGTACTTTTTGCCAGACATTAGCGGCGCCTTTTCGAAGTCGTATACATAGTTCCACTTGGGATGGTTATGTGGGTGGGCACCTCCTTCAGGGTCCCCCGCATCTATCTTCAATTTCTCTTGCAAAGCAAGTTGGACCTCTTCTACTGGGGGCTCAGGGAAGCAGTCCTCGTAACGGTCTGGGTCCTTTACCGTACAGCATGTCCTACAAGTGGTACATTCTGAGGCCTTTTCGACTCTTCTTTGGTCATGAACATGGGCGTAGTTTGCTGTTAGTACGAACAGCATGTGGAACTATGGGACAAAAAAATCAAAACTCAAACAAATTGGAAGAGAATTCGTGTCCATTCGATGACCTTTAAAACTGGAATTGCACTGGAAAAAGTTTAGAAAATTTGGATTTCTTGCCATTCATGCAGTACAGCCTCAGCTGCAGAGGGGAAAAGAAAATTGGACACGCAAGGAAACTAGGATGAGTTCCCATTTACCCCTTCTACCTACCTAATATACTGCAGGTTACATACCGATTATTTACCTAATTTTTTTAGTATTCAGGGTGCTCCTTTAGAGTAAAAAGTATTTTAGCAATTCTTTCAAGTGTAAAAGTTAAGGGTGTCCATTAATTTGCAGCTATCATCGACGAATGCGAAAGAGGAGTTTTAGGAAAATTTATCTATGTATTGACCAGACGCATCGCCACTTACCACGCCCACGACAATGAAAAGCCCGCCAACAAAAACAGCAGCGAAATACGGAGTGGCTCCAGTTATCTGAGAAATAAACAAACATTTTTAAAAAAAAAAGCAATAATAACAGACTGGATGTAAACAGAATACTCATAGGATAAATTTCTATAGGAAAAGTTTTTAAATACTGCAACTCGTCGTGTGAGAACGTTTCTTTGCTTTTCTGGGAATCATTGACCTGAGACCAAACACTAGACCAGTTATCTACGCTTCGTAGACAGCCCCGAAACTACCCTGCCAACAGAGGCCCTTCGATCGTCTTAGATATCTAAAGAGATAGATGGGCCACTGTTCGCAGGGTACCCCGAAACAAGCTGCACCAACCGGAGCGTCTGATGTCGCGGCCATGAACAGGTGTCTATTACAAAGAAGGCTTAGCTGATATACAGGTGAGACTCGCCTGAGGGGCTGTGGTCCCCTGTACCTAAAGCACTAGTGTACTAGTGTTGAAGAATACTTCCTGATTACTCTAAGCCGTCCAGTTTGCAGGCCAATCAGAGATGTAAACCTTACCGCTTCGCAGAATAACAGCAAGTCATCGCCACAAACTTCTTCTGGACTGACAAGATCTCCAATACCTACACATCAAATAGCACCAAACAAATCAAAACTTGCTAAAAATGACCTTTGGAAGATCTTTGTGTAACAATTTACGACCAGCATCGACATGATGTTTCAAGTCGGCAGTTTTATCGCCGGCTCGCGAGAATGTCTCTATATCGTTCTCCGTGAAACAGTAGTTACCTTAGGTTTATCGCATCTTTGGTATGCAACAGTGCAATTTCGGCCGTCCTATATCCAAATTTTTCTCCAAAACTTTCGTTTCAAAGCTTACTTTGTTGAACAATTCCTCGCATCAAATTATTTTTAGTGGTTCTTGTATGAGGAGATAGCGTATTCGGTTCTTCTTAACGTATGATCCATCATCTATCTATGCGGCGTTTTTGCTGGCTTTTGTCCTCCCTCAAGCTCCTGCGCATCCGAAAAATGTCAGTTTTAGAAAAACACAGCACATAGCTTGGCCCGACCCGTGTAACCCCTCCTCACCTAACCCCCACCCCCTCCCCCCACCCTTCCAAGCTAATCCACTGGTCACTCTAGGTTTAATCTCTCCACCTATTACTGTCATTTGTACTTACCATATTCTTCAAATTTAATGCAGGTCTTTCCGAGTTGCTTGACGACTTTCACCTGACACACTCCAAAAAAGATTCCCATGAATATAAGGGGAATAAGCAGCGTCGGAGCGAGGAACAACCACAGAAAAAGCATAAAATAATGCCATCCAAACAGCTACAGAAAAAAATAAAGGAAAAATGATGAGTCGGCTTTAAAATTGCTGTCACGTGTATCCAAAGACTATTTGGCGTGAAGGAGATTTCCATTTGGAATTAATTAAAAGACAGTCTTGAACTTTTTCAGTACTTTATTAATTCGCACCTGTCTTTTTTTCTATAATTTTCTGCCCTCGCTAGCTATTTATATACAGACTTCCGTCGGAGCTGTCCGTAGATTCTTTTCGGACCAACCTCGCCTCGCCTCTTTAAGACTTTCTTCTAGGCCTGCTAAGTCAATTCATTTGACCGCGCAGCAAAAACTTTGGGGCCTAGGAACTAAGTTATCCCTCATATCCTGTTTTCCAAAATTAGCTACTTTTTAACCAAATTCTACGTAGCATTTATTTTCTCATAGAGATATAGACTTACAAAGCAGATGCACCACCGTCCGAGCAGACGACATTTCCATCCTCTATAAATTGTGAACCGAGTGCGACCTGTAGCTGCAAATCCATGCAAGAGAGCAAGTCCCGAGACTGACCCCAGAAATACGCCAAACAACATGATCCCTAATGAGGCCAGGTCACTGTAAATATCAATGATACGGCCTTCGTTTCAGTATTTCATCCTTAGGTAAAACTCCAAGACGCAGGTTGAAACTTATCCTGGTTTTCTAAGCATAAATGTGCGGTAAAAACAAGCAAATGAT